TCATTGTTGCTTTGATTTGCATTTTGCTAATTACTAGTATGGTTAACTATAATTACTTCCTTTTTTTTTTAAGATTTTATTTATTTATTTACAGAGAGAGACACAGCGAGAGAGGGAACACAAGCAAGGGGAGTGTGAGAGGGAGAAGCAGGCTTCCCGCTGAGCAGGGAGCCTGATGCGGGGCTCGATTCCAGGACCCTGGGATCATGACCTGAGCCGAACACACACGCTTAACTGACTGAACCACCCAGGCGCCCCTAACTATAATTACTTCTATTTGTTGGATCTTTATATTTTCTTCTCAGCAAAATGCTTTTTACATCTATTGTTTATTTTTCTATAAAATTACTTGCATTTTTTAAACTAGTAGGAACTACTTAAAAACTTTGAATATTAGGTATTAGCTTGTTAGATGTATTGCAAACATTTTCTTGTAGGCACCTTATCTTACAACTTTCACCCATTGTGTGTTTTGTCCAAAATTCTAAAATTTTGATGATGTTCAATTTATCATCATTTCTTTCATGGCTTTTGTATTTCATGTGATGTGGATTGTTGGACTAAAAGTTCTCTGTCATTGACTCTTTGTCCAGGAATTTCAAACTTTAGGCATTTAACCTAAACTTTTCCTTAAATGTTTTACCACAAGCTGTCTGATGAAGGCTTTAGCTATTTGCCTTTTATATTTTGGTTGCACATAAATGTACAATTTGGTCAATAGATGTTTTAAATTTAGAGAAATGTACCTTGATGTTGGTCCTGTATAGTTGGATTCTTTTGTCTTGATGCCTTTAAGGCTTCTATTTATTTCTGCCATTTTGGTGAGGAGTGTGGGGGTTACTTTTGTTAACTTATCTTTCATTTTCACATGAAGGAGAAGAAACTGTTAAATAGCATGTTGGCCCACAACTGAAAGTCTGGGTTTTCGTGGAAGACCCAGCTTGAGGAAAGACGTGAGGATATGTCAGCCCACAGGGAAGCAAGTCTTAGACAATGGGCTTGGGCTACTTAGAGGAGCAGAGGTTTGTGCAAGTTTAACTACATCATCATACCCACATTGGGTAAAGGCAGTCCTACAGAGGTCACCCTGGGAATTTCCTTGGCATCCCATTTTCCTAAATCTACTCAAGTACAAATGACCCGGGCTGTTCTCTGTGGTCTGTGGTGCACATCATGTTGCACCATTATTCAACCAAGGAGAGTGCCAGTTCTCTCCCAGTAGCAATTCCCAGGCCAGACTGCCAGCCCTGCTTGTAGGTAGCCCTTGATAGATGTAAGCTACAATGGCTTTGGTCCTTTTGGGAGCCCCAAGGGAGCTGGTGGGCACTGGAGCAGAGAGCCCTGAATTAGGGAATTGGGAATTACAGATTCTAAGCCCAGTTCTACTGTGAATTTGATTCTGTTATTTTTCAACTATGGGGAGCAGATAAGCTCTACTACTTCATGGTTCCTTCTGCTTTATTTGTTGTGAATGTCAGCTTGGCCACATGAATACATTGTTATGGAGATTGTGCATCTATGAACAGGTTCTAGAGAGTCTAGTGGTGGTGAATGACCAAGCCCTCTCCCCCTACCTGGTTTCCATTGATGTTCCCTCCACTTACCAAGATCATGGTCATGTTAAGTGAGCAAAATAGCAGGACTTGATACCAAACAAGCATGGATGATAATATCTTAGAGTTTAAAAATTGGAATCTGGACTTCATGATCCCTTAAAATTATTTCCACATCTAGGATCTTTGGCTTTAAGAGTACTTACTTGAATTCAATTCAAGCCACACTTAATGGTGTGCATAATTTTCATTGTTGAATGTGACAATAGAACATTAATAGAATCTGACAAACTGGGTTATGTTTACATAGCAGAATCATATTCCTTTTTATAACCAGCATAAATATTGATAGTCCTCTCAAATATAGCTAGGGTATCATGTAATCATATTATCCAACCCTTCTACTCTAAGACAAAAGTTCTGGTCCATTTCTCCAGTAGATGGGCTCTCTGCTCCTCAATTATCCACCCCAGTGGTTCAGTTCTTCCCTCTTATCACCATCACTCCTATTTTAATTTCTCTGATAGTTATTCACACTAAAGTTTAAATTGGGGACTTCAGAATGGGTACTGATTGCTGGCAATTCTGGAAAGTACTGGATGCTCTGAATGTTGGGAAGAGAGGGAAAGGTCAGTGGAATAAGAGGCTGAGGCCGAAGAGGACACATGCCATCATAAGACACAGGTTTTTGCAACCTTCTTCTGGGCATGGAAAATTCAAGCTATATTCAGTGGCTTTTGAATCAATGAAAATACAGCTCTCTGGGTTGTGTCCCTTGGGCCCTCTGAGCATCTCTTGGGCTGATGCCTCCTCTCCACATTTGTGTTTCATGCACTGAACAGACTACACTCTCTTTTCAGAGGTCTGAGCAACAGTTTGGCAGAGGGTCCCCTCCAAAGGTCTGGGCGTCAGTCCTACAAGATCCTTCCTTTGAGCTCATAGGTTCTTTTGTTCCCTCTTGTTTCTTTCCTGTAGTTGTTAATTTCAGGGATACTTCAGCACTTTCTTGTTACTCTTTAGCCTTCTAACATATTTTATAACGAGTTCCCTTTGAAATTCCTTGTGTGGGTTCTGCTTTCCACACTAGATCCTGATTGAAACAGAGACTTAAGGAATTTGGGGGCCAGATGATAGGACCCTTTAGATGCCATTTTGTGATGAACATCCCAAGAAAGGGGGTATGTTAATTGATACATAATGGAGAGGCTCTTCAGTTGGACAGAGGGGACACAAGAGAGGTGACCCTGACTGAGCCTGGCTTTGAACACAAGTCTGTCCGAATTCATTATCACACTCTCTCCTGGGGTAACAGATAAACTGGAAGCCAAAAGTGATAGGATTGAGGCCTCAACAGGAAAGGACCATGTTCCTCCAAGGGCAACAAGGAGATGGGGGTGAAAAGTAAGAGAGGTTGAACAAGGAACTTTTCAGGGCTGGGAAGAGGAGCTCATGGAGATGCTTGCCTAAAAGGTTCTGTCTTAGCCCTTCCCTCCCACCCCCCCAGCTAGGCGGGTAAATACGAAGTTGTTTCCAGTCTGTTTTTTGAAATTCACCTCAGTCAAGTTAGCTTGTGCAGCAGAAAATTTTTGTGCTTGACCTCAGCAGATGGAGGGTGGGTGTGTAACAAACATGGTACCTCCCACCAAAAATAGTAATAATAGCTGTTACCATTCACTGAGAACCTACAAATGCCCTGCATTACTAGAACAGAGGTGGGGGATAAGTTGGGATCTGGGGCTCAGTTTTTAGGGACATCATTGCTGACTATTTTAGTTCTTAGGCAGTTCTGGAGTCCACTGCATTTTGGGGGCACCAGGGACCAGGCTTGCTTTGATTAAGGGTATGCTGCTCAGTGCCTGTGGCTTCCCAAGGGGGTGGAGGTGCTGAAAGAGTACAGTAAGGGAGCTTTCAGCCTAGTCCTCTTTTCAGGGGTGGCCTGGGTGGTTCAGGCGTAGTTGGATGGCCAGGAATGCCATGTGGACCCTGCCTGAAGTCCACAGCTAATTTTGCAATCACAGGACTCCCTTAGTGGAACTGTAGAGGGCAAGCTTGCCTGCCTCAACAGATGAACTCCTTCTGTGAAGGGCCTGGCATTTCCAGTTATAGCCTGAGTGAAAAGGCAGGAGAACTGAGTTCTGGGGAAGTCCCTCAGTCTCCCCTTGCTGAGAAGCCTGGGGTCTGTCATCAGCTCTGTTTCCCTGTGGGCGTGGCTCGGTGCCTCCTTCTCTGGTAGCTCATGCTGATGCTGTGATTTCTTCATCTGAGTCTCAGGATATTCTGACATATAATTGCCACGCCCCCCCAAGGTAGGTGGCACCTCCCCCATTGTACAAAATAAACGGCAGTCTCTGTCAGAGCCCATCACTGCTCTTGGGAGCTGTTGGAGCTGTGTTTCAGTCCCCTGCACTTTTGATAAAGGTTCTCCAACTTTTCAGCCTTTCCTCTTTTCTGTGCTTTAGGGCTCAGGAAGGGATGGGGCTATGCCAGGCTCTGTGTCCTGTCCAGTGCTTGTCTAGCTGCTTCTCACTTTCTCACTTTCCAGGGAGTTGCTGGGATCCTGGCAGAGCTGTCCTGCCCCCAGGCAGAAGCAGATGTCAATGGGGGAAGGAGGAGGAGACACAGGCATTAGGCAGCTGTGGGTATTTAAGGTCAAAAGTCATGCCTGGCTTAGAACATCTAGGAAGATATTGTCACTGGCTGGATTTTCAGGTGGAGGAAGTTCTGCCCGATGTCTCCTCCCTGTCGGTACCTTGAAGTTTTGTCTCAGGAGGTGGCTCAGATTTTCTGACTAGGGCTTTGTGTCAGGCCAGGCTTCCCAGTTCCTTGTCCAGAATGAGGATCTCAGTAACTAGCGTCCTGGAAAGGTCTTGGAAATGTCTCCTGACGCTCATGTCTCCTATCGCTGTCCCCACAGGTGTTGAGACAACACCACTATGACATGCATTCGAGGAGTCCCTATCTCTGGAGAACGCTTTACAGCAGGTGATGTTGAGATGGGGCTCTGGAGGCCTGGGACACCTGCACTCATACCTGTCTCTTCTGGATCTGCCCCAGCATTTTCTGCCCCTCTTTGTGTATAGCCCTTACCACCCAGTGATCTCCAGCTTTCCCTGGCCAGAGAGCTTCTACAGGGTGGGGAGCAGTGCTTATTCTCTGCTCTAACTCCAGACCCAGCACCAAGTCAAGCACAGAGTAGTCATCAGAGGCAGTAGCTGGTCTTGACACACATGTCCTATGGGACAGTTTACCCTCTTAGACCATTTGCAGCTCTGGCCCTCCTCACCACAACCCATAGTTTTCCCAGAAAGAAAGGCTGAGCTGAGGGTCATGTGAATGCTATCAGTTTTGGTGTGTAAACCCTGGACCTTCCTTCCTGAAGGGCCTAGCATCTAGCAAAGCGGCCTAATTATAATGGTTCTTCATTATTCTTTTCTATTTAAATTGTAGTGAATAAACCTCATACTGGGGAGGTCTCCGACTTGAATCAGCAGGTGTGGATCCTTCAGGGTCAGACCATTGTGACAGTTCCACGGAGTAACAGTGTAACCCCAGGTGAGTGGTCATCCCGTAGCTGCTGCCTTGGAGGCAGGGGAAGGGTCACATTAGTGCACCTGGGATGCTGGCACTGGCCTTTTGTGAAAGGGTGGCTTGACAACAGGGCCCACCTGGAAGGAGGAGAATTTCACACCTGCCTGGGAAGCCATGTCAGGGAGAAGTTTGTCTGGAGTAGGATTTAGAAAGCAGAGAGGGTAGAGCAGCCTCCTGGGGGGCAGGAGAGCTGCTTTCAGTGACTGATGGCCTGTCCCATGGAAGAGGAGTATTTTATTCTGCTTGACTTCAAGGTGTCCTAAAAGGACTAAATGACTGGGTACAGGAAGGCAGATTTCAACATCACATTAAGCAAAACTTGCTAATGGTCAGAACTCTTCAAGGATCAGAGGGGCTGCTTGGGGTTGGAGCTTCCCACTTCCAGGTGTTTAAGCAGAGGTATGACAATCTCTAGGACAGGGTCTGCCACCTGTTTAACTCTGTGTGTTTGCTCCATTTCCTAGGGATGTGACTGGTATGTCATATGAATGAATGAATGAATGAATGAATACAGTAGTTGGCCATTTGGTGGGCCTGGGGTAGCAGGGATGACGCTCAAAAGGTTTCTTCCTGCCCCACTTGAAAGATGCTGGCCTTGTCCTGACTTCAAGAGGAAACTGACACCATCTCCCCTCTTACCTTTATTAGTCACTGTCACTGTTGTCCCATGCAAGTATCCAGAGTTGCTTGAGCAAGGAAGAGGAGTTCCCATTTATTTGGGAATAGAGAATCCAGATATGTGTCTGTCTTGTGAGAACATTGAAGGGCTGCCCACATTGCAACTGAAGGTGAGTATGAAAAATGACATTTAAAAAAAAGGCCAATTTCTTTTATAAGATGTTTATTTGGTAGATAATCTAATTTTAGAATTAAAAAAATATTCACCTATTCTTTTTTTTTTAAGATTTTATTTATTTATTCATGAGAGAGAGAGAGAGAGGGGCAGAGACTGAGGGAGAAGCAGGCTCCCCGTGGAGCAGGGAGCCTGATGTGGGACTTGATCCCAGGAACCTGGGAGCATGACCTGAGCTGAAGGCAGATGCTTAACTGACTAAGCCACTCAGGCACCCAAGAAATATTCTCCTATTCTTAAACATAGTTAATATTCTTGGATATTTTTGAGTAGTGTATATGCAATTGAGTTATCCTGACCCTCACTAGTTGAGGATATTTCTCCTTCTTGAATTTTGAGATATTCTCAACCATTGTTTCTTCAAGTATATTCTCTCCTTCATTCTGCCTTATCTTTCCTTTTGGAATTCCTATGCCTTAGTCATTGGAACTTCTAGATCCCTCTTTAATATCTTGTCTAATTTTCCATACTTTCTATCCTTTCATTGTTTTTGTTTTTTGCTTGTTGCATCCTGGGATAATTTCTTGATTCCATTTTCGAAGTCATGATTCCATTTTAAGCTCTTCCTATCTGCTAAATCATTCTCCCCTTGCTGTTTTCTGAAATTTCAATCTTTACTCTTATTACATAAACTTCAGCTCCATAAACTTCTGTTTAATTCAATTCAATTTATCAAATCAGTTCAGCAAATGTGTGAGTTCTTACTGGCCTCTAACTCTGTTGCGGCCATCTGACATACATTGGGGCACAGAACGGCAGAGAGCCCTGCCGTCATGGGGCGTGGATTCTAGCAGGAGGAGAGAAATGGTAGACAACAATTATCAGGATGGGTAAGTTGGTGATGTGTGTAAGGGTGTTGTGTCCCCTGGGAGAGCAGGATAAGAGAGGCGGGCAGTGCTAGACCCAGGTGGAGTCAGGCTGCGGTAGAAAATAGTGCAAGCAGGCCTGCTAAGATTTTAACAGACAGTAGAAGGCAGCAAGAGAGTTAGCCAGCTGGGTGTCAGGGAGGGCAAGGATTAGCAAAGAAAACAGTGACAGGAGTGAATTAGGGAGGAGTTCGGAGAGATAAAGGCAGATCACAAAGGGCCTTGCTGGCATTTATAAGGACTTTGCCTTTCAATTTGAGTGAAATGGGGAATTATTAGAATGTTTTTAATAGGAGAGTGACATGAATAGACATAGGTTTTAAAATAATTATTTTGGCTGCTAGCTGAAAACAGACTGTGGTGGAGGGCAGGGGTGAAGTCCTATGCGGAACTTCGACATGATCTATGTGAGATCTGATGGATGAGGGGATAGCAGTGAAGGTAGATAGAAGCCAGTCGGACTCTGAAAATATTTTATTTAAATTGAGGCAACAGGATTTGCTGACAGAGTGAACGTGGAGTGTGGTGAAGGTGGACTGAGAATTACATTTTCAGCTAAGTCCTGTCTAGTAAGCCGCCCTTCTATTGTGGTTTTGTGCTCAGATGGACTGAGAATCGACCACTGCATTCTGCCATGTGTGGGTCCTTAGGGACCTTGGTGACAACAGTGTTGCTGCAGTGCTGGAGGTGAAAGTCTGGATGGAGGGGGTTTAAGAGAGGGACAGGAGGGGAAAAATCCGAGACAGCATATATGGACAACTATTATGGAGAAATTTCTGCAAAGGGAAGCTGGGAACGGTGATAGGCAATCGAAACAGTTATTTTTTAAGGTGGTAGAATGACAGCAAATATGCTAATGGGAATGATGGAGAGAAAGCCAAAATGATGAATTGCTAGAGGAGCAGGCATAAGCTGGGGAGGGCAGATGGGAACTGCAGCCCAGTCCTTCCCAGGCCGGACACTGAAAGGGAGGAGGAGGACGTATTGGAGTTTGAAATGAGAAAGTGTCTTTTTATTTATTAAACACATCTCTATTGAATTTCTCTGTGTTGAGGAATGCAGTGATGAACAAATCTGGCAGTAATGATATGATTGATGGATAAATATACTAAGTTCAGATGGTAATCAGAACTAATGAAGAAAATAACCTGGTAAAGAGATAGGGTTCGAATGTGGCTGAATTACGGACTATTCCTGTGTAGTGGCTCTCTGGAGATCTTTAATTTAGTTAGAAATACTTACTTTACTTAAATACATGCTATATAAACATACAAAATGTACTTCTATATGTGACATAGAAGACATTTTCTGATTGCTCTATTTACTTTGTTGTTGTTTTTTGAATGCAAATCCTTTGGTTTGTTAGACCCTCTTGTGTCTTTTTCCTGGCACTGACCTTTCTCACATGCTGGCAGTTGGTCAAAGACTAACACGGAACTTTGGTTAGACCAATGGTGTTTGCAGGGCGGCGGCCCTCACTGCTGCAGCTTTGGTGGGAGAGGTCCTTGGTTTTCTGCTGCAAATCTGCATCTCCTTCCTTTTCCTCCGCTCGGCTTCTTGTGTTAGAAGAGTTCCAACTCACTGTTCGAGTGTGCCCACATGTTCATTAACCTGTTCCTTGTGTCATTCCTCCTCCGTCTCTGGATTGGAGGCTGGGGGCTGGGAAGGTGAGATTGTGTGCTCACCCTGCTGCTCCTAGGCCTGTTTTAATAGAGGGATAAGGCTTTCTCGAGCTTTGGAACATTTACTGATTGTGTGCAAGTAACGTTGAAGGACTCAAACAGCCTCTGCTTCTCCTGCGGGGCCTTCTCTGTCATATTTCAGGAGGAGGAAATACTGGATCTGTACAACGAAGTCAAGCCCATGGAGCCCTTCCTCTTTTACCACTCAAAGAATGGCAGGACCTCCACCTTCGAGTCCCTGGCCTTCCCTGGCTGGTTCATTGCCTCCTCTGACAGAGGCCACCCCATCTTCCTCACTTCGCACCAGCGGGGAGTGTACAATGTTAACTTCAATTTAAATATCAATGCTTGAACTCAGGCTGGAGGGGGCAGCTTGGTCAGAGGTCTTTGTGTTAAATTTTCGAGTTCCCAGTGTGATTTCCTCTATATTATCTCAGTGTCATTTCACATCAGTGCTGAGAGGTGGGCCGTACCGTTATCACCGCACTTTATGAATGACTTCATGGCAACTGAGGCATAGAATGTGGGCTCAGACATAGGAGGGAAGGGTGATGTAAGGTTCTCTCAGGCTGAAGCTGTTCATCCCACAGCCATCCCACAGTATGAGTATGAGTATGTCAGGACCCAAAGACATTAGGGCATTCCCTGGGGGTGGATATGGAGAAGGCTCAGAGCTCATGAATCTTACCCAAGATCGGGTGACTAGTGTGGAACTGATTGTTTTTGTTTTGCTTTGTTTCCTTTCCTATTTGGATTACATATTCCATATAGTTTGTATGTTGCCAGTATGTCTCAAGTTGCATAATGTATCCTTTTAAAAGAACTTTTAAAGATAAATAATTCTTAATAACAGAAGAATTATGTTTTTTCCTAATTCTAATATGTAAACATAAGGCCAAATATAAACTTCATGTGTTTACACAATAAGAAAGCTAAAACTAAGATATAAAATGAAATAGCAAACATAGTAAACTGAAATTAGCAAGAGTAATTGAATGAGGATAGCTCTGTGGGTGAGCCTGGGACCTGGGCTTAGCTGGGGGGAGGAGGACCCCTGTCGCTGCTGATAGGCTGGGGAGGAGATGATGCATGTAAAAGACAACTATTATTTCACTACTTTCTGTACAGTCTCACAGCCTTGACTTCTTTGCCTCTTCTAGACTTTTCCTTTTAGGCATACTCACCATCCACATAATCCCTTTAAAAACTGCAGGAAAGTCCCTTTCTTTGGAACAGAGAGCCTAGCGTTTTCACCAGCCATGCTTCAGATGATGTATTCTGATGAAATTAAATCACTGATTGTGAATATAATTGTAGAAAGATGTAGCTTAGATCTGGTTCTGCATATAATACATTTCTTATTTTGACTCTGATATTACAAATGCAGAAAATTCTATTTGCTTAAATACAATTTCCAAAATAGCACCACTAAATTAAATTTTTTTTCTACTTTTGGACAATCAGACCACATACTCTACTAGCCAGGCCAGTAAGCAATCAGTAAGCACCGATTTAATGCAAGGTCTCTTGATTCTTTAAAGTTTTCTTCTTCAATTACGTATAGTTTTAGCATTGTAGTTTTATAAAAAACAACATTAAAATGGGCACTGAGCTAATTCTGGGATATTAAATAGAAGACTTGGTTATTGAATATTTATGACTATCCTCACTGCTAATAAATGGTGGCAGTGTCTTACATCTGCCAATTACATTGTTACATTGTCGGTTGTTACATCTGACAGTTGGGATCCAATGACACATTTGCTTGTGACATGATTATGGTCTGAGTGTTACAGCATCTCCAGACTACTACAGGCTGTGTGGTGATTCCATTGTCCCATCTTTTTTCTCTACCACCAAAACTGTTCATGCAGACACTGTGACACTTTGGGTTGTCACTTGGCACAGATTTGAGCCCAAACAAAGCTCAAATATGAGTCTTGGTGTCATGTAACTGGCTATCCTGATGATCCAGAAGAGGTTCTGATAGCATATTGAAAGTGTAATGAAAATGAAAACATAGTAATCTCATAGTTTTTGGAACTGGAGAATAGACTTCCAGGGACCCCTTGACTTATCTGTCACGTTTGAGAAAGACCACAGCATATGAAATCATGGAAGGCCCCTGTGAGTAGCGACATCCTCATTTTCAGGTTTATGGCCTGGTGAACATCTAGTTTTCACACATTTGAATATCAAATGCTCTGGCATTTGAGTTCTAGGAGCTCCAGGCCAACATTCCTTGAAGGATTTGATTCTTTTAGGTCTTTAGTAACGGGGTGGTATAAAGGGCTTGATGCATTGTGTTGGGGGAGGTCATTGAGAGGATATGACCACCAGTTGACCCATGAGCTGGACTCTGGCAGTTGGAGGCTCCTTACCCCCTCCCCTGTCCTTGCAGTGTGTGTGTTCTGCTTGCCTTTCCTGCTCCCAGAAGCTGCCCCAAGGACATAGCCTTGAGATAGTGATGTGATGTTGAGATATCTGGATGGTATATGTGGCCGAACCCAGTTAAAGCCTCTACATACATTTTTAATATTCTAGTGGGTGAGTATGGAGATCTATTTGTCTTGTAGCCACTCAAAGACAAGCGTTGTATGTGAGTTTCCTTGTTTATTAAATTTGGCACCTACCGATCTGGGGTGAATCGTCTCTTTCCTTTTGGTCTCAATCCTGACCTCCACATATGAGAACCAGTTTCAGATTATACCCAGGAAGCTCCTGAGGAGGTGTAAATCTGACAGATTACACTGAGAGAAGGGCTTTTGGATTCTGGTAAGGAATTAAGAACCTGGTCACCAAAATCACAACTACAGTGAAAACTGTTGAGTGGGATGTTTTTCTGCTTTGGGAATCATATCTTCTGGCACCAGGACTGCTGAAAGACCAAGACTGCTTCCTGAAGCTGGACCTGATGATACCGTCCCTGAACTCATGAACAACTGGGCATGAGGGACTGAAGATGCTACCTCCGGGACCCTGAGAACAGTGGCTGTAATAAATAATTCTTCATGTCAATAAAACATTACTTTTTCTTTTTCAGACTTTAAAAAGTTGTTCTTCCAAAACAATACATGTCTGTGATTAAAAGCGATATTCTTCTGCCCTGATCCTATTTCTGTGAGGCAACTGTTAACTCTTTTTCAGCTCTTTTTTCAGTTTTCCTCCATGTGTCTAGGGATATATTTTACCTCTATTTCTTGAGTTACCAACTTTAGACATTATCTTTTCTACCAGACAGATGTCATTTGCCTCTCTACTGTACAAAAATCATATGCCCTTTATCTGTTTGCTACAAGTTAATAGAAGTAGTAAGTCAAACAAAATTATATTTATAGAGAGTCAGATGACCTTCAGGTGGGCCCATTAGATAATGCTCTAATATGACATTGAAAAGGCACACAATAGGGGAGCAAGATGGCGGAGGAGTAGGAGACCTGGATTTCGTCTGGTCTCAGGAATTCAGCTGAATAGGGATCAAACCATTCTGAACACCTACGAACTCAATAGGAGACCGAAGAAGAGAGTAGCAACAACTCTCTGAACAGAGAAGCGACCACTTACTGGAAGGTTGGACGTGCGGAGAAGCGAATCCGAGGCGATATTCGGGAGGATAGACGGCGGGGGAGGGGGCCTCCGCCAGCCGCTTCTGGCAAGTGATAGAGCCGCGGAGCACAAAATCGGAACTTTTAGAAGTCGGCTCCGCTGAGGGACGTTGCTCCAGTGGCTAAGCGGGAGGTGGAAACCTCGCGGGACAGTGTGGTCTCAGGACCCTCGGGGTCACAGAAAGACTGGGGGTGCCTGAGTGTGGCAGAGCTCCCAGGTATTGGAGCAGGGAAGCCGGCTGCAGAGATGGAGCAGAGGCACGGGCTCTCAGCTCGGGGTGGCCATAAACTTTGATCCGCGGCCCAGTCGGGCCACTGCTCCTCCAGCAGGGACCCAACAAGTGGCAGAGCCGGGGAGACTCCCCTTCCTCCCCCGGGAGGAGCGGCGCGGGAGCACACCACAGGGATCTGCTGGGTTTGGAGACTCCACACGGGGTCGGGCGACAGAGATAGAAACGCTCGGTCACAGGCCGGGTGAGCACGGAGTGCGGCCGGAAACCAGGGACACGGGAGTGATTGCTTTTCTCTGGGGGTGCACTGAGGAGCGGGGCCCCAAGTTCTCAGCTCCTCCGGGCGGAGAGTGGGAGGCCACCATTTTCACTCTCGTCCTCCTGTACCGAGAGCTTTCAGGGAACAAAAGCTCCTGAGAGCAAACCCGAGCAGCTTGCTTAGCCCGGACCGACAAGGGCGGGGCAATTCCGCCTCCGGCAAAGA